ATGGCCTCCAACCTACGGTTCTTAGCGATGGCCTCCAACCCACTAGCGATGGCCTCCAACATGATAGCCAACTACAGAAAACATGATCCGAACCTTTGGGGTGTCAGTAATAGCCATCTTAGAGGTTCAGGCGCTTGAGCGGTGTCCAAAACCGGGCGAAAGGAAGGTCGTAGACAACATGATCTGAGAAAAGCCCCACCAAACGTGAGCACCCACCGACTCTGAGGAGCCAGTATGTTCATCGAGCTTTGACCATTCTGGCAGACCTCAGACCCCCAAAACCTGAAACAGCTTTGAGTCCAGTCAGTTCACGTCGTTGGGCCGTTTTCATCCGTGGGAACCCACGTGCGATGCCGAACGTGGCCCGTCACCGAACGAACGGAACGAACCGGCCCCGGCGCTCAGTCTTCACGGGCCTTTGCATGCTCGGAGCCACCGGTCTTGGCCTACGGCATGTCCGGGACACCCAGCCGATGCCCGGACGTCGCTGGAACCGGAGGAATGAAGGAAGACGGCGACCGTGTGCGGAGGCGGAAGGATATAGCGGAAGGAAAAACATGGAACAATACACGGCATTTGGTACGTATGCTTAAGATGATTCCCTACAGCTTTCAACTAGCATTAAAGGTGGTTGAGTTTTATAGAGTAAGATCCTGAGTAAAATGATTGGTGGGCCAGGAATGGGGCAACACCTCACATGTGAAGCTCATTCCTCGTCAGGTTGTGGGAGTTTTTTTGGTAGATTGAGGCGACCTTGATTTCAGCAGCCTTTGGGTCCATGGTCATACCATACCATTCATACCACTCAAGCCTTTGTGTAACCTCTATTTTGGACCAGCAACCACCCAAACGTGGCCTTTTCACACCAACAGTGACCTCTTTGGAGTCGACCTTAGGCGACCTGAAATCAAGGCCTGTTCGTGACCGAACATCGATCTGGACGGTCACGTACTCTTCAGCTGGAAAAATCCCAATCGGATGCCTGGGCTGTGCCGTCCTCCCCCACTCCTCGGCACACGCTGTGCCGTCCTCATTTCGGCCCTCGACCCGGCCGAGGTCCTGCTCGGAGCCGCCGCTGTCGATGTCGGACCTCATCCAACTGGACCTCTCCTCGTCCACCCGCCGCGCCCTCGGCGAGCAGCGCCGTCCAAGGGCGAACCACGCGGCGATGCGCGCGGCTTCGGCCGTTGGACGCGGTTCCGCGTTGGTTTTCACTTGCTGCAGGTAGAGGTGCTTCATGATGCTTCATGTGAACCCCAATTGAAGTGGCTCACACTGCATGTAAGAACTGGACGCCGGAAGCGGCCCACATCAGGGGTGGTGATATCCTCGACTCGGGCGCTGGTGACCCTGCTTCTTTTTTTCAGTGCATGGCATAGCAAATCATCGAAAATTACGGTTTCAGACCAAGTGGTGGATGTTGTTTTCACCCAGACACAGACAATTAGAGTGTATACAGATCATCACCTGGAACCCCAGTCCCAACCAGAAAGAAATGGATGTTTCCCCAAACCAAAATGTCCTATGTAATGTTTTTCAATTGCCATATTGGAACTGGTTGGGACTGGGGTTCCAGGTAGCATTTAAGGGATCCGGGGATTCATGAAACTTGCTGCAACAAAAAGAACATCATTGGATCTCGGAGAGGGGGGCGTCCTTGAAGAAGGAGAAACATTGAGAAACATGTTAGTTACCCTGGAAATCCGCACGACCATGTTTAAAATGGGAACGTTGCCTGGTTGAGTCACGTGTGTAAAATCCTTTATTCGTATCTCACTCTCACGCTCACTCTCACTGACCTCACACGCACTGTTTGGGGTCTCTTGCCGGGATAATTGGAGGATTCCGTCGATGTCAATGGTGGGCGAAGAATCCTTAGGGTGTAGTTTATGCAGTTACCTGCCACGAATCCTGAAAACACATGGCTGACAGGGTCAGCTTGTCCCAGCCATGTCCCTGAAAAACCTGAGATTAAAGAACCAACCCGCCGTTTGGATGGTCTGAATCCAGAACCGAGCGTTTGACATGGACAAAACGTAGCCCGTTTGGGCTCCAGTTGTACCGAACCTGAGAAGATGGGGGGTGGGGAGGGCGTACCAGTCGTACGACTGGAGGTGTGGGGGTAGGTCAACCGAACTCTTCGAAAGGTCTTGGAGGGCGAACCGGCACCAGGAGGCCTTTGGAGGGCGAACATGTGAAGAACGAAGAGATGCCGATGTGTCTTCGACGGGAACATGCCGATTTCGCCACTTCCGAAAAAGGATCACCGGGAACCCGCCAGTTTGAAGCTGTTTCTGGGGCCATCGCATCGAAGATCTATGTCTTAGAGCTATCCGAAGCGACGCCTGAGGGAGTCCTGTTCATCTCGACTTGCTGACGCTGGTCTTTGGCCTGGTGGTGGACCTCAGTGGGACACCACCGGAGAGGGCAGCACTGCAGAGACTCCGGGTTGAGGCTTTTGGTTCAAGGGCGATGCCCTCAAATCCAAGAAGATTCCGAGTTCCCCTCCACCAGACTCGCGAGAGAAACCCAAAACAGGACTCATGCCAAGTGCCCTGTCAATGATGACCTTTTGTCCCCGTCACGGGTCTTCTATCTTTTTGCCCAGTGGGTGGAATGTATGAGGCTTGAAGGAATAGTCGAGAAGCCACTCCAATGACCCAAATCCGTCAACGCACGTCCGGTCATACACCGCCACCTTACGCCACACGCGGAAAGCACCGAAGCCGGGGGGAGCCGGAGGTCCGGTGCCACCGGACTGTCTGATGCCAGGTGTGGCTGGGTTTGTCCTCGTTGGCCTTGGATTATTTGGCCATGGGCAGCCCACCGTTACTGAAGAGCCTTGCACGCTGGGAGCCAAATCTGGGTCCAGAGGGTCGGTGTTCCGAAGCTGTGTGGGGAAGTGGGAAGTGTGACCGTGGCCTTCATGGCCTCTTGGGCGCTGTGAAAGACTCCTGGGTGCTGTGAAGGTCTCGTTTCAAGTATGTCTTTTGGCGCTGTGAAGGACTCCTGGCCTTACGTTACTAGGAACAAGAATAAGCTACTAGGGGCTCTTGGCATCACTGGCATCGCGACTCGAACGGAACAAGCACGCGAACCGAACGGTGCTCCTGGCCTTACTACTATAGTAGCATTCTTGCTACTAGTAGCATTCTTGCTACTGGGTGCTGTTGGCATCCTTTTGGGGTGCATGAGATCTCACGCCCGTCTCCTGACACTGAGCTTCCGGCCGACTCCAGTAAAGGCCAGACTTGGGAGCAGTGGGACCCGACTGAAGTAAAGGAAGTTCACCAACTCAGGTCCCCTAATCAAGACCATTCTTCCAGCAGTCACAGAGCGATAGGGGTGCGATCCATGGAGGTTAGGGGTACCCAAAACATCCACTCACTGGATGGGACCACCCCGTCTTGTGACTGCTGGTTAATTCTTTTTCAGAGTCGACTGGACTCCCAGGGTTTGAACAACTCTACTTCTATTTTCTCAGATCTCCATGCTAAGCATTCATTTTTTTTCTCCGGTCTTCCAGCCCTCGCTGGGCGCCAATTGGCCCTCACTGGACCCAGGTCCAGAGCCGCCGTTCTCTGTGTGGGGCACTTCCACCTTGGGCTTCTCCTCATCCGCCTTGGACTCCGTCTCCCTCGGGCGCGCGGGTCCGCGCGGCGGTCCGACCGCCTTCGAAGCCGTGAAAACCAACGTGGCGTGGCGTTGGGGCTGTACACCGGAGGTCGTGTGTACTATAGAAAGGATGGTCTGACTAATTAGGTGACCCGAGGAATGAGGAATTTCCTTTTCGGTTGGTCAAAATGTAGTCGATCTGGACTTTAGGGTACACCTGACCTTTGATTGGTCTATATAAGCCTCAATAGACACTGTCTGGTGAATACTTTGTATATCGGGGTCAGGATATTATGTCGTATTTGTCGTATGATGTGATGTTTGGGCATACCTAGATCTTCCAACTATGCAAAATGTATCCCTTTTAGTGTACAAAACCAGCCAAGGTTGGCATGAATGTTGCATAGTTGGAAGATCTAGGTATAACTAGGTCCAACTAAGGTTCCAACGAACTCACATGTCACATGTGCCTGATCGTTCCATCCCGAAAACCCGCCCAGTTCGGCAGACAGAAGAATCAGCAGGGCCGCTCAAAGCGGGTCTTCCAGACTGGGAGATCACCGCCAGATCCGAACTCGTCCGTCCCCCGCGGCGGCGCGCTGGTGAAGCGAGCGAACTCCAGGCGAACGAATCCAGGCGGTCCCCAGACCGGATGGTCCCCAGGAAAGAAAACCCGTCGCCTGGCCGTAAGGCTCAGCCGTTTCTGACCGAGTCTTGATGACTGAGTGAAGGGAAAGAGCTGGTGTTCGAGTGATCTCTTGTAGAATGGTTGTTCGGTATGAACTACTACATCATATTGGGGGGGGTTCATAGGGAGCCCAAGCAAGGAACCATGGGCAATGCCAGGCAGTGAAGCTAGATACGGCTACATCCAATTCTAGCAATCCCACAGGCTCCATATTATGGAATATATGCCTACTTGGAACCCTGAAACCACCCCAATGTAGGTATATATATATATCCCATATAGTCCCATGGAGCATCTGGGCATTGAAGACTTGAATGTACCCACCCATTCATTGGCCCCGGCCACTCGGCCACTCCGGAGCAGCTCCTTCATCCTCGTCCTCGCCAGGCCGCCGCCGTCGTCGCGGCACTTTGCCCGTCCGGGCCCGGCGCTCTCGGTCTATGGGCTCCTGCGGCCGGAGAGCTCGTCGTCCGGGAGCTCGGCGGCAACCGACCGGTTTTCACCCGCGAGAGCGACTGAGGTTCCCAAAACCCAAAGGGGATGGGAACGATGCGCCGGTGTCAAGGGAAGGACTTGGTTGACTTGGCTGACTTGGCCCCTTTGTTTCAGGCCCAGTTGTGGGGCAGTTGTGGCATGACAAGCTATGGGGGGGAAGAGGTCGTTTCCGAATGCAAGATGAAAAGCAATAAAGAGACTGAAGTGTTCATACTAGGAGCATCCTGTTTGGGTGCCCTGGCTGGACTACCCTGCACTGACAGGATGCTCCAGCCAGGACACCCAGACAGGATGCTCCAGGTCTCCAGTGGCAGTGAGTGGCAGTCGTGGCAGTGGGACCCACCGGCCGTCAGCGCTGACTGGCGCTACGACGACTCGGTCACGGCCGTCGACCGATCGAGGGGCGCGGCGATGCACATTTACAAGTTCCTGGCCCAAAAGAAATGCGTTTGGAATTTCATGATGATTGGTAAAGTTCTGTGATAAAATTAGTAATATACCCTGTTTTCTATGAATGTTCTATGAGTTTTATTGGTAATTTCATCGAACATCCTGCCTTACAATGGAGTTCATATCCCCCAGATTCTTATCGAAGAACCAGCTTGTTATACAAAGGATTTTACACTACAAAACCCGGGGCATGCATTGTTTAAATGTTCGAACCAAAGGCTATTGGGCTAGGGGCAAGAATGGTCTCAAAACGGAGTTGCCCAAGAATGGTGTCATTGGGGTCTCTTAATACACTCAAAGTTCAGAAGACCACTGCACTGAACTGGTCCACGATACTATAGACACTTTATATTAAGTAAAATGCCCGGCGGGGGGGGGGGGGCATAAGAACGAAGAGTAGGTGCATCCGTGCTCTCTTTTTTGGGAGTGAATGGCTTCCCACACACCCACCGAAGACGACGCCCATGGAAAAGGGCGGTCGGACGAGACGTCTGAAACCAAGGTCGGTCTTGGACTACGTGCACCTGGACTTCCTTCCTTCGCCACACGCCTCTATGCGTTCAGACTTCATGTTATCGGTCTTCGGAATGTCACGGCCTGGTCTCTCCTTGTCCACACTGCACTTTGCTTATGTGGACTTCTCCTCGTTCGTGAGAGCCTTTAGCTGCTTGGGCTTCAGCTTGTCGACTTATGGCATTAGCAACTTGGACTTCTTCCTGTTGGCCCTGGATCTCATCACCATTAGCTCCTCGTTATCTTCGCAAAGCTTTGCATGTTTGGAACTCATCTCGTTGGTCTTCGGTCTCACTCGACTCGCCTTGCTGCTTTTGGTGTTGGACCTCGGCCAGATGGAGCCTCCACTATTCTTGCGAGGCTTCTTTCGCTTGGAGTCCTTGATGTTGGTCTTTGGCATGTCAGAGCTGGGACCCTCTTTGTTGGTTTTGGATCTCTTTTCCCTTGAGCCCTCCTTGTCATTGCAGGGATTGATGCAACTCGATTTCTTACCATCCGTTTATGGCCTCACATGGTCAGATTTCTCCTTGCTGGCTCTCGACCTGTGTCATTCGGAAAGTTCCTTGTCTCTACATGGCCCTGTTTGTTTAGACTTCGCGCTCTTGGTCTTTGGGATCACTTGCTTGGAGCCCTTTTTGCTTGCCTTGGACCTCGCTCAAGCGGATCCATCCTCATTCACGCGCAGCTTCTTGCGCTCGGAGCTTTCGATGTTGGCCTTCGGCGTGTCTTGCTTGGACGACCTGCTGTTGGTTCTTGACCACGTGTGTTTCAGTAGCTCGTCGTCGTTGAGGAGCTTTGCACACTTGGAGCTAAGCCCGTCTTCGTTCGGCTTAGCACGGGCTGAGGAACTTCTGCCTGTGTTGGATCACGTGCAGATGAATTTGCTGCTGTTTTCAAGGTCACTCGCATGACTTGAGCTGACCTCATCAACTTGGGCAATGACACGTTTAGAGCTCTTCCTGTTGGTCTCAGGCTACTTTGAGTTCGAAAGTACCTTGTCTCTGAAAACCTACGCTCACACAGGATTCTCCACACTGACCTATGGAATCTCATGCTTGGACTTCTTCTTGTCCATTCCTGACCCGGTCTCCTTCGATTTCTCCTTGTCCTCACGCGGCTCCGCATGCTTGGACTCCTTGACGTTCTCATGGGGTTCCAGTCGTTCAGATCTCTTGCTGTTGATCTCGGATCACATGACGGTGGAATTGTCCATGTTGGCCCAAAGCCCTGCGAGGTCAGACTTCATCTCGTTGCTCTTTGGACTCACACGGCCCGGCTTCTCCGTGTCGGCGTCAGATTTCATCCTCTCCGGATCATGCTTGCTGCTCCGAAGCTTTGTTTGCTTGGATTTGATGTTGTTCGCATATGGCTTGAGCTGCTCAGAGCTTTTCTTGTCCTTGTTGGATTATGGATGCTTAGACTTCGCATTGTTGATGAAGAGCCTCATGCGACTGGAGCTGTTGTCGCCGGTGTACGGCCTCACCAACTTGGGTCCAATGTCGCTGCCCCCGGATTCTGCCACTCTGGAGTTCTCATCACTCTCGAGGGGCTTCCTCTACATGGGGTTCTTGCTTTTTGCCTATGGTCTCTCCCAGCTCGGTCTAACACTCTTGGTGTCAGATTTTATTCACCTCGACCTTTCCCTACTTCTCAGGTCCTCCCTCCACTTAGACCTTCCACTTTCGGTCTTTGGCCTAAGCAGATCAGAGCTCTTGTTGCCGATCTTGGATTACGTGCAGCTGGACTCAGTGCCGTCATCACGAGGCTTCTGCTGCTTAGAATTGCTGTTGTTGGTTTTTGGAATGAACCGCTTGGAGAGCTTGTCACTGGTTCTGGACCTCGCGCTGATGGGCTTGATCACGTTCTCGCGGAGCTTCTTTCGGCTCGGATCCAGCTCATTCGCATATGCCATGACACGGCTTGAGCTCTTTTTGCCCACTCTCGACCTTGTACATTTGGACTTTCTGCTGTTGGTGCAAGGCTCTATATGGATGGACTTCCTGTCGTTCGCATATGGCTTAAGCAAGCTGGACTTGTCATCATTACTTTTGGATCATGCCTCTGTAGAGCCTTCACCGCTTCTACAAGGACCTTTACGACTGGAACTGTTGCTCCCCGCCTATGGCTTGTCCAGACTTGGCCTATCCCCGTTGGTCTCAGATTTCCTGAACCTTGACAGCATCATATTCCTGAAGTCCCTTTTACAAGTCGGTTCAGCAATTCTCGCGTATGGCCTTACCTGCTTGGGGCCCTCCATGTTGCTCTTGGACCACGTTTGTGTGGAGCCTTCTCCGTTACTACAATCCTCCGCTCAACTGGACCTTCCACCCTTGGTGTTTGGGCTGACAGGGTCAGGGCCCATGCTGCCCACTCTGGATTCCGTGCAGATGGACTTCCTGTTGCTGCCGCGCAGCTTTGCGCGCTTGGAAAGCTTCCTGTCGGTGTTTGGGATGCTATGCTCGGGCTTGAGTTTGTCCATTTTGGACTTGGCCAATACTGACTTCACCCTCTTTTTGAAGAGCCATTCAAGGCCAGGATTCCTTCCGCCGGCCTTTGGCATTATGTGTTTGGAGCTCTTCTTGCCCATGCTGGATCCCGCCACCGTTGGTTCGATGACTTCTCCCAGGAGCCTTGTTCGCCTGGGAAGCGTCTTGTCCGTCTCTGGCATTACATGGCTTGAGTCCTCGTCATTGGCCTCGGACTCTGCAACTCCAGGTTCCTCATTCTTATTGCAAGTCTTCTCGTGCTCAGGTCTCTCCATTTTGGCCATCACCACAGTGAGGCTTGGCTTTTCACCTCTCATCTTCGATCATTGCCTCGTTGACTCCACCGTGTTTTTACGGCAGCTTGGACGTTTGGGCTTGGCCTCGTCGGCTTTGGGCGTCACGCGCTTCGGCTTCCCCGCGTCGGCCTTCGATAGCGTCAGCATCGGATCTCCGCCGTCGGCACGGCACACGGCCCGACCCGGCTTCGCAATGCCCATGTGGTCCATGTGCCGCGTCGCCTCCTTCACGTCGTCGTTTGACTTCCTGCATCTGGGATTCTTGTCGTCGGCCAGGAGTATGATGCAGTTGGACTTCAGTATTTCCTTGGAAGGCATTGGCCGGTCAGCTTTGTCTCCTTTCGTGTTGGACTCCTTGCACTCAGGCTTGCTTCCTTCGACTCACTCCTTTGCACGGATGGCTTTCACCTTCTCCTCATATAGCCGAGCACAGTTGGGCTCCTTCCCACTGCCGTTGGATCCCGTCTTCGCGGGCTCAGCCTTGTTGGTGAGATCGTTTGCTTGGCTAGGTTTGCTGATGTTGATCTTTGGACTGGGACGTTTTGGATTGAGTCTCTTGGTCTTTGACATGACCCAGTTGGGCTTGCCCTCACCACCACACAGCTCCAGCAGACTTGGAAGTATCATACTGGTCATAGCAGGTACGCGCATCGGCTTCTCCTTCTTCATTTTCCAGATCGCAGAGTTTGACTCCATCCCATCGCTTCGGGATTTGGGCCACTTGGACTTCACAGCTTTTGTGATGACTTGGGGGCGCATGGACCTCTTCTTGCCGGTTCTTGACTTTGTACACTTAGAGCTCTTGCTGCTGATCCGGAGTAGCACCTTCCCTGGCTTCGCAGTGCTTCTCTCCGGCAGCTTCCGCACGGGTTTGCTTCCCTTCATCCTGGACCATACGCGTTTGGACTTGCCGTCGTTCTTGAGGTGCCTGGCTTGCGGCGGATTCCTGCTGTTCTTCTTCGGCATTGCAAAGTTGGGCTTGGCGATCTTGGTCCCGGATTACGCTTCCTTGGACTCCTTCACGTTACCCAGATCATCGCTCCGCCTAGGCCTGGCCTTCTTCGTGTTTGGCATGGGCTGCATGGGATCTTCCATGTCACTCTTTGATTTGGCATGCGCTGGAAGTGCTTTGTTCGTCAGATCCCTTGCACAGATGGGTTTGGTTCTCTTGGTTTATGGCCTGACGCGCTTAGACTCCTCCCCCTCAGCGTCGGACTTCAGCTTTCTGGGCTTCTCACTGCTCATCAGGAGTCTCAATCAAGCGGAATTCATGGTGAGCGTCTTTGGTGTGAATCGATTTGACTCACCTCTCTTGGTACTGGACTCTTTGAACCCTGAGAGCTTCTTGTCGGTGCAAGGACATCTTCGTTTGGGCTTGAACCTGTTGATCTTCGGGCAAAATCGCTTTGACTTGATGCTTTTCGCCTTGGACCTCTTGAACTTGGACTTCAGCTTATCCATGCGCAGCTTCGCGCGTGCAGGGTCGCGGTCGTCCCTCTTTGGGTTAGGCCGTTTCGATCCGCTGGCGCTTCTACCTGACATGGCCGTGGTGGGTTCGTTGGTGCCGTTGCACAGCATGACGTGATCGGGTTTGATCTTGCTAGTGGTGGGAGGTGCAAGGCTGGAGTTCATCTTGTTCTTGCTGGAACATATGAATTTTGGAAGTCTCTTGTCGACTCGAAGTATGGCATGCTTAGGATTTGCCTTGTTGGCCTTGGACTGCAGCATGTTGGGGTCCTCTTCATCACCTCAAGGCCTTCTTCATGGCGGCTCCAGCTTGTTGGCCTTCGGATTCGGTCGATTCGAACCGTTGGTATTGGTCTTGGACTTGGCGCATCTGGAGCTTTCCCTCTTCCTCCAAAGTTTCAGCTGTCCAGGCTTCATGCCGTTGATCTTCGGGATGAGCTGAGGAGATTCAACAACTTTGCTGTTGGACTGTATGACCGTGAGTAGCTTTTTGTCACCGAGGTCCCTTGCCCAGTCAGACTCCATGCCATTGGTCTTCGGCGTCAGCTGCTTTACGAGTTTGCTGTCAGCCTTTGGATTCGACCACTTAGACCCTACGCTCTTGCCACGGAGTATGGGATACTTGGACTTGTCGACATCCATGATGAAATGTGCACGAACGGACTCCTCTTCATCAGCTTTGGATTGTATTGCGATGGACTTCTTCATGTCAACTCGATCTCTCAACCACATGGAACTCGCTTCTTCGGTCTTCACCCTGGCCAGACTGGGCTTCTTCCCGTTGGTCTCCGATAGCACTTCTTTTGGATTCACCTTATCCACCCGGAACATGGCACAGTTGGGTTTCGCCTCGTTCCTCTTCGAGCGGTGTCGCATGGGCTTCTTCACGTTGATGTTGGATGCATCGCATTTTGAGCTCTCGCTGCTGCTGAGAGTCTACGCGCGACTGGGAAGTGCATCTTCAACCTTCAGTCAGATGAGGTTGGACTTGACTGCTTCAGTCTCTGACCTTGCGGATTTGGACTTCCTGGCATCGACCCGAAATTCCGCGCGCTTGGGTTTGGCATTTTTCATCTTTGGCTTTGGATGCATGGGCTTCCTTTTGTCCACTTTGGACACTCTCACGGCTGACTCTGCGCTTCCCCTACAATCCTCTTCTAGATTCGGTTCGGTGCTGCCACTCGTTAGTATCGGATGCCCTGAGCTCTTCTCATTGGTCTTAGACCTTTTGCATTTGGAGCTCATGTTGTCCTCGCAAAATCTCGCACGCTTGGGGCTTTTCCTTTTGGCCTCCAGCCGCTGTGCCATCGATTCCCTCCTGCCGATCCTCGATACCGCTGATCTGGAGCCTTTGTCGTCCATGCGCTCCTTTGTTCAAGCAGGCTTCGCCTTCAGTTGCCTGGGAATGGTGAACCTAGGGCCGACTCTTTTGACACTCGATTGCTGTACTTTGGAAAGCTTTTTGTTGGTCAAGGGTCTCGTCAGCATGGACTTGGCAGTCTTGACCATGGATTTGTTGCATTTAGGCCCCTTGTTGCTGTCGCAGCAGCCCGCCAGATGTGGCTTCTCCTCTTCAACCTTTGGCATGGCTTGAGCAGAGCCTTTGATGTTGGCCTTGGACCTTCTACATTTGGACTTCTTGCCCTTCTTGCGAAGCTCTGCACGCTTGGACTTGGCGCTTTTCGTGTTGGACCTCCTTCGACCAGGCTTCAGCTTGTCGCTGCAAAGCATGGTTTGTGTTGGGCCACTAACCTTGGCCATGGCTGCCACACGCCTTGAACTGCTACTGTTGACTTTGGACATGGTGATTTTTGACCTGCTCCTGCCACTGAGATCATCCGCACGATCGGGATTCAAATCTTCGACCTTCCAGCGCACGGCACTCGACCTATTCCTTTCCGCCTTCGATTTTCTCAACTTAGATAGCGCATCGCTTCCCAAAAGCTTCGCCAAGGCGGGCTTCAACTCTTCAGCCTTCTCATCCGCCAGATTGGGCTTCTTGATATTTGTGTCGGATATGGCATACCTGGACCCCTCGATGTTTGCACAAAGCCTTTGTTGGCTCGACCCTTTGATGTTCACGATGGACTTCCTAAGTTCAGACTTCACCATGCTTCTGCGAAGCTACGCACGGCTGGACTCAGCGACGTCCATGTGTGACTCCTTACGCTTAGACCTGTCCTCGTTCGCACGCTCCCATGCGAGGTCGGGACCCATGTCGTTGGTGCGGAGTTCTGCGCGCATTGGCTTGGCCTTCTTGTTGTGTGGACTCTCAAAGGTTGAGTTGATCCTTTTGGTTTTGGACTCTGTGCAACTGGAAAGCTTCCTGTTGGCTCGTAGCGTCAGTCGACTTGGCTCCGGAGTGTTCATTCTGGATTCTTTGCATATGGACCCCATGCCATTCTTGCGCTCCATGTCCCATTTGGACTTGGCCTCTCCAGTCTTTTCCGCCACTCGACTAGGCCTGCCATCACCAGCCCTGGATCGTGCACGCTTGGGCTTCTCCTTGTCCTCGCGGTCCTTCGCATGCTCCGAGTCGGTCTTCTTGATTGCGAGCTGCTGTGAGTTTGAACCAGCTTCGTCCACCTTTGACCTCAGCATCTTTGGCTTTTCATCATCTTCGAAGGCCTTCAGCCGCATGGGCTTCATGTCTTCGGTCTACGGTCCGGTGCGGATGGGCTTGCTGTTGCCGGCGCTCGACCTTTTGTACCTGGGAAGCTTCTCGTTGGTGCGCAGCCTCGGGCGACTCGCCAGCACGGTATCCATTTTGGACTACCTGCACTTGGGATTGGTGACGTTTTTGAAAGGCCATGCATGGATGGACTCCAGCTTCTTGACCTTTGGCATCTCCTGTCTTGACTTCACCTCGTCCACCTCGGACTTTGTGTTGTTGGGCTCTAGCTTGTTGCTGCACAGCTTCGCTCGACTGGATCCATCGATTTTGCTCTTGGATTTCGCCAGCTTGGGCTTCTTCATATCCTCACGCAGCTTGAGTCGCTGTGGCTCCCCATCCTTGCTCTTCGGTGAAATCCGCTTGGGCCTGTCGCTGTTAATCTTGGATCGCACCAATTTGGACTCCTCCTCATTATTGCACTCCTTCACCAGCTTGGGTTTCACATTCTTCACCTCCGGCAGCCTTCGGATCGAATCCCTTTTGTCCATCTCGGATGCCGTGAATTCGGGCTCCAGCCTTTTGCTACAAAGCTTTGCACGAGCTGGTTCTTTCATGTCAATTTTTGAGATGACTCACATGGAGCTCTCACCGTTCTCGCAATCCACCTGTTACTTGGAGCTCACTCCTTCCGCATGGGGCATTGCTCGGGTCGGCTTGGCGGTCTCCATCTTCGATTTCATCCACCTGGACTTCATGACGTCGACACGCGCGGGCACCTGCATGGGCTTGACCTTCCTGATCTTCGGCCTGGCACGTTTCAACTTGCCCTCGCTGGTGCTCGATCGCGCACGGTCAGGCTCACCGCTGTTGCTACGCAGCCTCGCGCGCTTGGAGTTGTTGACGTTGGTCCTGGATCCTTTTCATTTGGAGTCTTGCCTGTTGGCACGCAGCAGGTTTGTTGTGGGCTCGGCCTTGTTGGTTTTCTCTGCAGCCAAGTTGGGCTTGCTGACATCACCTTTGGATAGCCTTCATGCTGAGCCTTCCTTTTCCACACATCACTTTGTTCAACTCGCATTGACGCTTTTGGTACTGGACTGCACCAAATTGGGCTTTCTGCTGTCCCCACGATCAATAGCTAAGCCCGAACCTTCTGTGTCGATCTTTGGCAAAATGGCCTTTGACTCACCTCCCTTGGCTTCAGACCTTTTACATCCAGAGAGCTTTATGTTGTCACATGGATATTCGCATTCAGAGTCCCCATTTTTGACCTTTAGCAAGTGCAACTTGGGGTCCCTTATATTTGCTCTGGATCCATTTGACTTCGATTCCGGCTCATTTTTACACAGTTGCGCCCGCTCAGGTTTCACTTCGCCTCTCTTCAAGTGTGCAGAGTCAGACTTGTTGATTTCCGCTTTAGACTTCGTCAACTCGGGTTTCTTCATGTCACTTCAAGACATTGCACACATGGACTTCACATCGTCGCCTTTTGGAGCAGGTTGCTTTGAGTTCTCGCTTTCAGTCTTGGACTTCCTGTACTTGGACCCCGCATCCTTCATGCGCAGCGCTTCAGCTTCAGGCTTCACGATCTTCCTCTTCGGAGTCTCACGCATGGAGCTTCCGTTGTTTCTCTTGGATTTTGCGCAGTGGGACTCATTCTTGCCTGTGCGATCCTTCAATCAAATGGGTTTGGGAACTTTGATCTTTGGCATGTCATGCTTTGCCTTCTCTCTCTTGGCCTCTGACATGAGCCAATTAGACTTCATTTTGTTCCTTCGTGGATCTACATGGCCTGAACCTGTCGTCTCAGCCTTTGGAATGACACGCTGCGGTTTTTTCCCGTTGCTCTTCGACTTCACGGCCTTGGAACTCTCCTCATCTGCACGAGTGGTCGCGAAGATGGGCTTCTATACGTTGGCCTTTAGCCGCGCCAGCTTGGAGTTGATGGTGTTCACACTTGACATGACTGAACTCGCATCTTTCTCGTCCACGCACAGCCTTGCACGCTCTGATTTGGTCTCGTCGATCTGTCGAGCAGGTAGCTTTGAGAGTGCAACGTTGGCCTTGGATTTCCTACACATGGGATTCTCATCGTTTCTGCAAAGCTCTAGCAGATTCGGGTCCACGATCTTGATCTTTGGGGCCAGTTGCTCTGGCTTCTCCTCCTTCGTCTTGGATATGGTCCCATTGGACTCACCTCTGTCACTTCAAAGCTTTGGACGACCAGGTCTCAGCTTCTTGCTGATGAGCAGCAGCCGAATGGAATCAAGCTTGTTGGCCTCAGACGCTTGTGAACTGGACCCTTTGATGCCCATGCGATCCTTTGCCCGTTTCGGTAGCATGTCTCCAGCGCTGAGTGCTGCACGTTTCGGCTCGTGCATGCTGGTACCTGACATGGTGGAGATCGGCTCATTCTCATCAGCACGGAGCATGGCACTTCCTGGATCTCTCTTGTTCATTTCCGGCTTCTCAAGGATGGGATTCTTCTCATTGATCTTGGATTTCTTGAGGCCGGATCCTTTGGCATTCTTGAACTCTTTCGCACGTCCTGGTTTCTTGGTGTTCATCTTTAGTAGGGCCACAACAAGCAGCTCTCTGTCTACCTTTGACCTCGCTCATATGGGCTCCTTGCCCTCGGCGCGGACGCTCGCTCACCTTGGCTTGTCCATGTCCAGTGTGGGGCAAACACGCTCCGATTCGGCGTCGTTGGTCTTGGATTTCTTGAACTTGGGCAGCGTAGCTTCTGTGCGAAGCTACACTTACTTTGGTCTTATCCTGTTGTTCTTTGGACTCACTCGCTTCACTTCGAGCCTCTTAATCTTGGACTTGGCCTATTCTGAGTTCCTCTTGTCGCCTCAAGACTTTGGATGCCTCGAGTCGATCTTGTTACCCTTTGGGAGAGCTCACGTGGATTTCGTGTCGTTGGCTCTGGATCATTTGCATCCTGAACCAATTCCGTTGGTACGTACGGTAGCTTCTGTTGAGCCATCAGCATTCACCTTCAGCTTGTCACGCGCTGGCTTCATGCCGCCCGCTTTGGATATCATCAAATTTGGTCTGTCATTGCTGTCGAGGAGTTCCGCATGCTTTGATTCAAGTCTGTTCACATTTGGCCAAGCATGCCCAGACTTTTGTCCGCTGACCTTTGATGTCAGTGAGTTTGGATTCTTTTTGTTCTTGAGAGCACTCGCTTGCTTGGGCTCAGCACTCTTCCCCTTTAGCGCCATGCGCCTGGAGCTGCTGCCATTCACCCTGGACGTCATGGAAGTTGGGCCTTCACTGTTTCTCCATGGCTATTCTTCTTTGGGCCCTATTCTGCTCCTCTTTGCACCAGTTCGTTTGGAGAGCTTTCTACCTGCCCTGGACCGCACATGTCTTGGATCTTCGACGTTATTGCGCTCCGTGGTTCGTTTGGGATTGGCCCTGCTGGTCTTTGACTCTGTTCATCTTGGCTTTTTCTCGCTTCTGCATTCTCTGGCTAAGTTAGATCCCACCATGTTCGCCTCCACTCGCAGCGCTCTTGGCCCATTTCCATCCATCTCAGACATGACGGAATTGGGCACAGGACCATCCGCGCGCAGCATGATGCGTTTGGGCTTCGTCTTCTTGATCTACGGCCACTGCCGCTTTGACTCCAACCTCCTCGTGCAGAGCTTCGCACGTCCTGACTCTACACTCTTTCTCTTTAGTAGCGCCCGGCCAGGCTTCTTGCTCTTCGCCTTGGACATGGCCATCTTGGAGTCATTTCTATTGGTGCGGAGCCTTGTGAGGTGTGACTCATCAGTGTTAGTGTTGGATCTCTTGAATCTTGGATTCTTCTTGTCCTTGCGCAGTCTCGTGCATTTGGACTTGAGCTTGCTGGTCTTTGGAATGACCCGCTTTGAGCTCTTGGTGTTGGTTCCGGATTTCTTGCACCTGGACAGCTGCTTGTTCTTAAGATCATTCTCACAACCAAGCAAGATGTTGTCGGCCTACGGACCCTTGAAGTCTGGTTCGACGACGCTGATTTTGGATTTCTTGCAGTTGGGCTTCTTCCTGTCGGCGCGACAGCTCGCGCGACTCATGTCCACGGTTTCGACCTTTGGACTTTCACAGTTAGAGCTCACCTTGCTTCTCCTCGACTTTGATAGCTTTGCTTTCTCCTCGTTACTGCGATCCTTTGCCCAATTTGCTTCAGGAGTCTTGGTCTTTGAGCATACAAAGTCGGAGTCATTCCTTTCATTGCAAGGGATGCAAAGACTTGAGCCTTTTCTGTTGTCGTCCAGCTGTTCACGGCCTGAGTCAGGTCTATCAGTCTTGGACCTCCTACATTTGGGTTTCTCACTTTCAATTCACAGCATGGCACGACTGGATTTGTTCTTTTCGACGGAGGGATTTCTCCGTGCAGGCTTCACACTCTTGGTCTTTGATGTAGCGAAGTTGGGCCTTTCCTTGTTGTTGAAGTCCATCGCGCACGCAGAGCTCAAGTCTTCTCTCTTCAGCACTCTACGACCGGACCCTTTGATTTCAGTCCTTGATCTTCTTCACTCAGGCTTCCCTCCATTGGCAAGATCCATCGCATGGTTGGAGTTCACAGCATCAGCCTTTAGCTCTGCTTGTTTGGGCCTGCCGCTTCTAGCTCTGGACCTCTTGCATCCCGACTCTCCAGCTTTCATGCGCAGTCATTTCTGTTCAGGCTCAATCGCGCCGGTCTTCGACTATGGTCGAACCGGTTCTTCTACGTCACTCCGCAGCCTCCAACGTTTGGGACTCTACTTCTTGGTATATTCCCGCGTGTCACTTGGCAGCAGTTTGTTGGTGCTTGATAGCTGCTCCCTGGGATCTTTCGTGTCACCCCACAGCCTCCTGCAAGTGGGAAGTCAGCTTCCGGTGCTGGATTGGGCGAAATTAGAGCTGTCTTCGCCGTTGCAAGGACTCATCCGTGTGGGATTCGGAACGTCGATCTTCGGCAGATCTCATTTGGAATTCATCATTTCAGCATTGGATGGCCTAATTTCAGGTTCGGCTCTGCCGTTGAGGAGCTTTGCTTGCTTGGGATTGGGATTACTTGTATGGGACTTTGCTGTGATAGGCTTCAGTTTGTCTTCGAGAGCCATGGGATGCTTGAGCTTGCCCTTTCCCACCCTCGGCAGTCAGACCTTGGGCGACTCCTTCTTCTTGCTTGACTGTGTCTTCTTGGACTCCTTCATGCCACCTCGTCAACTTGCACGCTTCGATCTGGCCATATCCGTACCGGATTTCCTTCACTTGGGCTTGCTCCTGTTCTCAAAGTCTCTCATGCGACCGGACCCTCCTTTGCTGGTCACCAGCGTCAGCCGGATTGACTCCTTCTTGCTGGTGTTGGACCCTCTGCACCTGGGTCTATCGCCACCCTTACAGTCCCATGCCAAGTTAGAACTAGCAACGTTTGCCTCTGACCTCACGGAGTTTGACTCCTTCTCATTCCTGCGGAACTCTATCCACTTCGGCCTCACCCCGTCGGCCCTGGGCACTGCGCATCCAAACCTGCCTCTCTCCGCCTCGGACCTCGTAGCACCCGACTTCTCCTTGTCGTCGCAGTCCTTAGCTCATCTGGAGTCGTCGCTGTTCGCCTTGCACGTGGCACACTTCGATCCGGCCATTTCGACGCAGCAACTCACACGTCTCGGGCTCACGTTGTTGGTCTTGGGAAGGGTCGGTCTAGAATTCATGGCATTGGTCTTGGATTCTTTGCATCTCGAACTGCCTACCTTGTTGCGGGGAATGTCTTGCATGGACTTCTCCATGCTGGTCTTGCGAGTCATGCGCTTGAGTTTGTCCATTTCCTTGCGAAATATGGTACAGCTGGCATCTTCACTGTCAGTCGTTGGCCTCGGCAGACCTGGATTCTGTCTTTTGGTCCTGGATTTCGCCACCCTTGATTCCCCCGTTTCCTCACGGCAGCTATGCCATATTGGCTCCACTCCGCTGATGCTTGGTGTCATTCAGATTGGCCTTCCAATGTTTGCACTGGATGTGTCCAGTTTGGGTTCCCCTTTGCTTTTGCGACAAATACTGCGTTTGGGCTTCCTCCCGTCCGTCTTTGGAGTGGCACGTTTTGAGCTTCTGCTTCTGGTACTGGACTGGTCTTTGCCAGGCTTTTCGGTTTCAGTGCAAGATCTCGCATGGTCAGGATCGACCTGTTTGGTCTGCAGCTTCTTGAGACTCGAGCTCTTCCTGTTCGCTTCGGACTTCACTCGATTTGAACTCTTTTCGCTTCTGCGACAGTTTGCACAAGCAGATTTCATGATGTTGGTTCTCAGCTGTATGAAGCTGGGACTATCCTCGTCGGTGTTGGATCACAGCTTCTGTGGATCATCAACCTTCCTGCGAGGATCTTTCCGATGTGCTTCAGCCCTGTTGGTTCTGGACTTCTTGCACTTGGGTTTTGCCCTATCTTCACAGCCATTCACTTGTCCTGGCTTTCTACCATTGATTTTTGGTCGGTCAAGCCTAGACCTTTTGGTGCCGGTCTTGGACTTCTTGCACTTGGAGAGTGGGATGTTGGCACACAGCTACACCAAATTGGGCTTTTCCATGCTGCTGGTGGCCTATGGGAATTCAGACCCTTCCTCGCTCTTGCAGCAATTTTTGCGTCTTGGAAGTACCATCTTTGTGGTGAGTCAGACTCGCATGGAGCTCCTTCTTTCAGTGGCAGATCTTCTAGTTCTGGGCCTAACTCCGTCACTGCAGCAATTTAGTCGACCTGAGCCAGCATCTTTGGCTTCCAAAACTGCTCAGCTTGACTTGTCACTCCTCGTGTTGGACTCCACGCAATTCGGACCCTCATGGTTGCCACAAAGCTCTGTCCATATGGGGTCAACCTTCTTCATGTTTGGTCAAGTATGCTTGGCCTCGAGTCTATCGGCCTTGGGTATCTTGGAACTCGGCTCCAGTTGCTTCATGCGCAGCTTCCTACGCCCCAGCTTGGCAGTGTCCATCTTCAACCGCCTCCGTTCGGGTTTCATGCTTTCTGCCTTGGACGCCAGTCACTTCGGCTCACCCTTGCTGCTGAAGAGCTTTGCACGCTTGGGCCTCGCGGCCTTGGCCTTGGATCTTGCAGGTTTGAACTTGATGCCGTTCTCGCAAGAGTTCACATGATTGGACTCTACGATGTTGACCTATGGCCGTGCAGCCTTTGAGTCCTCACTCTTCGTCCTGGACCTCTTGCATTTGGACTTCTCCTTCTTCTCACAAGCAGTTCAAAGACCCGAATCGGCATCGTTGGCCTCTGGAAAAGCGCGATTTGATCCTTTCGTATTGGCCTCAGACTCTCTCCACCTGGGCTTCACCTTCTTCTTGCAAAGCTTCGGACGACCGGGTTCGGGCTCCTTGGTTTGGGGCAAGAGCTGCTTCGGTTTGACGGTTTCGGTCTCGGATCCTTTACATTCGGATCTGCTGCTGTTCATGAGATCTGTTGCACATCTCGACTTCTTCGTGCCAGCCATGAACTTTGTGAAGTTGGATTTGGTCATGTTCCTGAGGAGTTTCGGTCACCTGGCATTCGTGGCGTCGCTCTTTGACTTCATAAAGTCGGGACTGTCCTTGTCTTCGCAACACTTGGCATATCTGGAACTCGCTTTGTTCGCTTGTGGATTGGTCTGCATGGACTTCTTCTTATTCACTTGCGATCTGGTCACCTCTGGCTCCTCACCCTTGCTGCGGAGCCATTGCCACTCAGGCTCCACCTGCTTGCTCGTCACCTTCGCACAGCTCGGCTTCTTCACGTTTTTACGGAGTCGGTTTCGTCCAGACTTGGCAGCATCGATCTTCATGTGGACGCGCTTCAGCTCGTCGGTGTCCCTCTTCGACTACCTACACTCGGGCTCGGCGACGTTGTCGCGAGCGAACGTGCAGTTGGGCTCGGCGTTTTCCGCGTTCTCACGGGTGAAGCTGGACTCCATGATGTCACTCTTTGATTTTGTGAACTTCGATCCCTTCTCATCAGCACACAGCTTCATGCGCTTGAGTTCCACTGCTTCCGTGGTGAACTATCAACACATAGGTTTGTTCATACCCTTGCAGGCCATTAGTCACCTGGAATTCCCATCTCCCGCCTACACCTCCATGCGTTTAGAGCCTTTGCTCTTGGTCTTGGACTTCGCACACCTTGACTCGGCGCTCTTCACGCGAGGCTCCACGTGCTTGGACAGCTCCCCGTCGGTCTACGGCCTTTCGAAGTTGGAGTCCTCCTCATTGGCCTTGGACTTCGTGCCTCGGCCGACGCGATGCGACGCGTGATGAAGAGGAGTCTCGTCGCGGGTTCGGGCGCCCGACAACCCGGATTCGGTCATAGAAAGACTGCGTGAATGACTGGGGATGGTTATTTGTTTATATTTTGTTTATGTAGAAAAGAATAGGGACAACACCTCGTCTCCGGAGGTTAGCCACGCCACCTGGGTCAGACTGAACCGGACTCGTTCAAAGGGGGCGGGTCGTGGGTTGGATGGACGGGATCCCTGTCGTGCAATTGGACGGGTGAGAGGTCAAAGGAAGGAAGCCTCGAAGAGGAACATCGATTTCAAGGTGAACATCGATAGAACTGATCTGAAGCTGAAGCTGATGGTAGTCAGACTACCAGGGCATTCTCCTGAAACAAACATGGACGCGAACGTTCAAGAATCCTTGCCCACGAACTAGAGGAGTTGATCGTTGGGTTGGGCGGATTGTTGGGTTGGTTGATCCCCACGGCTCACACATCGACTACTCCTGTTGACCATGGTATACTGTTGGGCAGAGATGCAACATGAGGAGCCTCCTTGAGCGAGGTGGCGTCATTGTTGCAAGCTTACTCTTTTAGTTGGCTTTGGTAGCAAACGCTCCGATGTGCGTTCTTGAAGCAAATGCCCATGGTTTGAGCAACAACAGTCACAGTCTTCGCACACCTTTCGTTGGTTCGGCCCAGCCGGAGCACCGGAACTCGCGTTGCCATGTATTGCCCGAAACTTGCGTTGGAGTGGTTTGGTTTAAGAAGGGTATCCCTGAAAGTCAAAGACTATATAAACATGGTCTTTGGATGGCCCGAAAAGGATTTTGTTTACTTGGGTGGTGTCAAAAATAGTCTTCGGACTTCTAGGGGTATGCCATGCAATCCCTCCCACAACCCCTGCAAAATGGGTCAGCAGTACCTTGCCGTTGAGCAAACTCGGACTCCAAGTCCACAAAACACACAATCCAAACCCCAGCTGTTTTCTCCCTTTTGCTGCCGAAGACCGAAGCAAGAATCGAAGATGATCGAAGCATTTTCCCCCAGAAAGTTTTTCAGACGGAGATCTTCCAACTGTGCAAAATGTTTGCCTTGTCCAAAAGACCAGCCAGAGTCGCTTGGATGTATACAATATAAGATGCATATACCTCTTCAGGGGGGTTAGGCACCACCCAGCCTGGGTGGTGCTGGTTTTGGGGGGACCTAACTTTGTTTGGAACTTGAACTTGCAGACTTTAAGGAGTCGGAGGTCTCATCCTGGGCTCTCCCAATCTCAACCAGAAACAATTCTGGATGGTTTTTCCCCAGTCCCAGCCACGTGCCACATGGGAAGAACATGGAACAACCATTTCGTTTTTGGCTCTTGGGGGGTTCCAGGATTCTTCTTCCGTTTTGGTGACCTTTACCTGCGGCTCCCCACCCCGTGCCGCCCGCCCAGGTGCACATGGGCTTCTTCACGCCTTTACGCAGCTCCTCGCGCACGGGCCTCTCCTCGTCCGCCTACGGCATGACGTTACCGGAGTCGCCCCCCTTGGCGCTGGCCGCTCAGAGCGAGGGTGAACTCGCCGTGTAACGACCGGTTGGTCGACATACGCGAGGTACGGTTTGAACGACCGGTTGCGAGGTACGGAACTCAAGTGGGATGGACGAACGCAATGGGTGTCTCATCACCTCCCCCCCCATTTGTTTGGGAGGAAAAGTGATGAACTCTCCAAAGTTCCTGAGCGTGGAAGAGTTTTGGAACGAGATTGAAGGGGATGGTGAAGAACCCTGGGATGGATTTCACCGCCTGAGAAAGAACAACGGCCCATCCAGTTCGAAGAGGAGCCAGTTCGGGCGGATTTCACCCCGCTTCCGCCTTGAGTGCAGGAACCAACTCAGGCTCGTGAGCTCAGGGTGTGTGAGCACCCAACTTCGTTCAATTCGGAGAGAGGAGGGACGAACAGAACGGACACGTCGCGCGTACACAAGTGTGTCGTTGTGCGCTGCAGAAAAAGTGGTCCTTGCGTTCGTCTCCCATCCAGTAGAAGGATCCAAATGATATCATGGGATGGATCGACTTTGTGGTGGCCATGGGATAGAGTGGGTAGATCCACCGATTTTAATTTTCACTCTACAAACAGAGGGTCATCTCCCGGTCGTAGCTTCTTGTTGCGGTATTATCGCGATGGCCTCCAACCTTCATAGCGATGGCCTCCACCTAAGCTACTAGGGGCTCCTACCAACAGTTCCAAAGGGGTGCGATCCATGGAGGTAGTCGGGGTTCCCCTGTCACATCCACAGCCCTGTGCTCACCAGATTGCAGCAGGGGTGGATGGTCAAAAAGAGGGCACCTGGGTGTCCTTGTTACGTTCGTAGCGAACCTTGCTCCGTTCGTAGCGAGGCCAGGAGCCCCGTTCGTAGCGTCAAAAAGAGGGCACCGATGGGCACCGGGGTGGTTTTCCCAGCGAGTTTTGGAACGGAGTCCTCTACAGGATGTCAACCTTCCATGCTTTGTTGGGGCTTTTGACGCACCCGCTGCCAGCGGATCCAAGGACTTCTTGGTCTTGGGATCCTCCGCTTCTTCAAGGAGTTCCTCTCACTTCGAGCCAAGATCATTCGTCTTCAGCCGCGTGACGTTTGAGCCAATGATGTTGATTTTGGATCTTGTGAATATGGACTTACTCTTGTCACTACAAGCATCTGGGCAGCTAGGCTTGACCATCTTTGCTTATGGCATGGTGTGTTTGGACTTCACCTTGCTGGTTCTGAACTTCGCCTTAGTCAGCTCTTCCGTCTCATTGCGGAGCTTTGCCAGGCTTGAGCCGCTGCTGTTTGCTTATGGCTGCAATTGACTGGGAAGTCTTTTGTTGGTGCTTGATCTCTTGCACTTAGACTTTGCTTTGTTGTTGCACTCCATGTGCCGGTCAGGCTTCAGCCCCTCATCCTGTGGCAAAGCTCGCATTGGCTCCTTCTTGTTGGTCTTAGACTCCTTACACCTTGGCTTCCTCCTGCCGATCCGTAGCTCCAGTCGGGTAGGCTTCGCAGCTTCAGCACTGGACTCTTTGCACCTCGGCTTGGTCTTATTTCTCCGTTCCCTCGCACGACTGGACAGCACCTCACTGGCACTGGACTTCTTAAAGCCCGGATCCTTGGCCTCGTCGCGGCAATCTGCGCGCTTCGAGTTCTCCGTGTTGCTCCTAAGCCGGTCACGCTTGGAACTGATGCTCTTGACGTTGGATTCCGTACACTTGGACTTCCTGGTGCTTCTGAAGAGCTATCTTTGCTTGGGCTTGGCTCCTCCGGTCCTGGATCTCTTGCATTTGGGCTTCTCAACTCCTTTGCAATCCTTCTCATGCTTGGAATTCCTGTCTTTGGTGATCTTGAAGACGCAATTGGGATTCAGCTTGCTTGTCCTTGATTGCGTGCAACTCGCACTCTCGCTGTCGTCCCGAGCAACTGGTCGGTTTGGCTTGGCCTCATCACTTTTGGGGGAAGCTTGTTTGGAATCATTTCCATCAATTCCGGACTTCACTCAATTGGGATTCAGTCTATTCTTACGGAGCCTCCTTTATCTCGAACTCTCCCTGCTAGTTCTTGACCACACCCGCTTAGGTCCTTCACCTTCACTCCACAGCACGGCCCAGTTGGGATTGGCGGTCTTCGCCCTGGACTTCTTACATTTGGGCTTAGCTCCTCCTTTACAATCCTTCTCCTACCTCGACTTGCGGCTGTCCACCATGAGCAAACTTCGACCCGACTCGTTGACCTTCGCTTCAGACGACTTGGAGCTGGACTCCTCCTCCTCGCCACGCTCCTTCGCGCGCTTCGGGCCAGCATCACTGGTCTCGGACCACGCACGTTTCGCCCCAGGGATCTCCTTGCGAGGGTACCTACGGTCAGAGCTCCCGATGTCCATGCTCGGATTGGCACGCGTGGGCTTGGTCTTCTCGTTGTTGGTGATTGATGCAACCTTGTTGGAATTATTGTCGTTTGTGAGGAGCTTTTGTCACGCGGACTTGTCCATGTCGGTTCTGTCCCATGCACGGTTGGCATTGTTGCTGTTGGTGAAGAGCTTTGCATGGTCGGGGTTGGCAGCTTTGGTGCTTGATCTTTTGCATTTGGGGCCCTTCTTATTCATGAGAAGTCTTGTGCATACGGGACCAGCAATGCTGGCTCTTGACCTTCTGCATTTGGGGTCCTCCTCGTCCCTACAATCATATTGTCAACTGGGCTTCACTGTCTTGGTAATCAGCAGATCTTGTTCAGAGCCAACAACGCTGGTGCTTGATGCGGTGACTTTGGGTTCACTGCTGTCCATACAAAGCCTCAGCCGTTCAGGCTCTGTGATGTTTGCCGCGGACTTCATTCAGCCTGAGCCTTTGATGTCCTTGAGAAGCTCTTGTCGACCTGGCTTCGGCTCACCAGTGATTGGCCTAAACTGATTTGGCTTGGTCTTCTTGCTCTTAGTCATCGAAACGACCCATCTCGAACTCTTCCTGTTTTCGAGATGTTCGAGTTGAGCAGGCTTCATCTCTTTGGTGTCGGATTACGCCAAGCTTGATCCCTTCTCTTCACCCAGATCCTTTGCTTGCTTTGGCTTCGTCTCGTTTGCCTTCCGCTGGATGAGTCTGGGATTGTTCTTGTTCGTCTTAGACTTCGCCAAGCTGGGCCTCGGTCCATCTATTCGATCCTTTTCACAGCTAGAGATGTCAACCTTCATCTCGGACCTTGCACATCTAGAGCTTCCCCTATCACTGAGAAGCTCTGGCTGCTTGGGCTTTGCCTTGTTCCTGGTCGCGAAGGTGCAGTTGGGCTTGAGATTGCTAGTTTGTGATTGGGTCAATCCGGGTCTGCCGATGTCTTCGCGGAGTTATTCACGGTCAGGGTCGAATCTTTCAGCTTTTGGACATGCACACTCAGAGCTGATGCTGCCCTTGCAACATCTCATGTGTTTGGACCTGACGATCTTCGCCGTCTCCACTGCCCGACTCGAACTCTTTCTGTTCACACTCGACTTCCCGGCTTTGGAGTTCTCCCTGTTCACTCGGAGCTTCTCACACATGGACTCGGCCCCATCAGTACTGGATCTTCTGCACTCAGAGAGCTTTTTGCTGTTGCAAAGCTTTGTTTAGCTTGATGTGGCATCATTGGCCTTCAGTCAGACAGCACTTGGAAGCTCATCGTTGGCCTTGGACTTTCTGCACTTAGGGCCTCTCACGTCACCACAAAGTTCCGCAAGACTTGACTTTGCAGCTTTGATCATTGACCTCCTGCGTCTCGACTTCTCCTTGCTTCCCCACACCATTGCACGTCTCGGTTTGCCCTCTTCCATCATGGGCTGCCTACGAATGGGATCCACGCTGTCGGCGTTGGATCCTTTGAATACGGGTTTCCTCCCATTGGTGCGATCCCTCACACGAGCAGAGTCTTCGGTTTCGGTCCCTTGGTCCAGTCGGATGGGCTTCTCGTTGTTCTTACGAAGCCATTCATGGTTGGGATCCGTTCCTTTGGCGTTGGATCCTTTGCATTTGGACTTCTTCTTGTTTCTACGAAGTACGAGCCACTTGGGCTTCTCATTCTCGCTCTTGAGTCGCACCGAGGTGGACAGCTTCTCGTCGGCGTTAGATTCTTTGCACTTAGACCTCTCGGCCTCCCTTCGAAGCTTCAGTCGCATGGGCTTGTTGGCATCCGTCCTGGACTCTGCACGCTCTGGCTTTCCGGCTTCGATTCGGGGCTTCACATGCTTGGGCCTCATGTTGCCGGTCATAGGCCTGGCTTGTTTGAGCAGCGTGTTCTTCCTGCCGGTGATGGAACTCACTCACTTCGACTTCTCCTTGTTCTCGAGATCCTTTGCTTGTTTGGAACCCTTGGTGTTGGTCTCGGACTTCTTACACCTTGGATTCTCTTTGTTGCTTCACACCATGAGCCGACTGGAATCATCAGCCTCCGTCTTTAAGCTTGCTCGAGTGGACTCGACTTCATTGGTCTTAGATCATATCCACACGGACTTCTTCTCGCTGTTGCGTTCCCACGCACATTTCGACCTGGCCATGTTAACCTTGGACTTCTTAAGATTAGGCTCTTTGCTTTCCATGCGACAGCTCACACGGCCTGACTTCTGCTCTTTGGTGCTGCGGGTCTCACAGACTGAAGCTTTCTTGTTGGCTTTGGACTTTGTGAATCTGGCACTATCACCATCCGTACAAAGCTCCGTGTGTTTGGGCTTGGGATTGCTGATCTTGGACTTCTTGCATTTGGACAGCTTCTCGTTGCTGCGAGGATTCATTCGTTCTGATTTTACTCCGCCGCTGATAGGAGCTGGATGTTTGGGTTCCATCTTGTCGGTTCTTGACTTCGTGCCGCCAGGCTTGTCGCTACTTCTGCGGAGTGCGCTACGATTTGAACTGCTGCCGTCCGTGCTGGACTTCCTGCATTCAGAGCTGTTGCTGTTGCCACGAAGCTTCGTACAACCAGGACTAGGCTTCTTGATTTTCGACTCCACCCGCTCGGGATTGTCTTCACTGATCCTGGACTTCACCCACCCGGAGTTGTTGTTGCTTGCCCGATCTTTCTTCCAAGTGGACCCATTTC